AGTAGACAGTTCTGTCACCACCTCCAAGTGCACCGCCTTGGTCGTAAAACAAATGAAAACAGCGATATAAATTTTAAATATGCGGGACTTACGCAATCGCGATTCCTTTAGTTGTAACGGGCCCGCATAATCGACGCCTACTTGATCGAACGGTCGTCGCGGTTGTATGCGTGCACGCGGTAAGTCAGCCATAAATGGGTGAGTCGGTTTCGCATCAAATCTCACACACACGGTACAATTTATCAGAACACTGTGCAAAACTGACCGGAGAGATATCACCCAATATTGACGTGCAATCATTGCCGCTAAAACACGCGGACCCGCATGGCCCGTAAGTAAATGCCATCGGCGGCACAACAATAACGCATAATGCGACCGTTTAGATAGCAGGATAGGGTGTTTGCAATCGTAATTTAATAACGAGTGGCGTAAGCGTCCGCCTACGCGGATTACGCCGTCAGAGTCTATGAACGGGGCTAACCGCGCAACCGGTTTCGAGGATATGCGACTACCCGCGGCCAACTCCCGCAACAACTTAGAAAAATGTACGCGTTGCGATTCCGCAGCCAACGCGCGCGCGGTATGATCTAATTCACCTTTTTGTAAAAATGAGGGGCCGATCTGATCGGAATTCAGTGGCAACGACGGCCCTGAAACCCCACTCCGTCTTGACGCGACACGTTGCTGACAAGCTCGTACGAAGCGGCGCATGTACGTAACCACACGTAACATGCGATCAAAATTAGAAAATCGTGCGAACCACTCCTCTACCTCGTCGTCGACAAGCGCAGCACACGACGCGACCCGTAACTCGGGTAACTCACACACAGACAGCGGTGGACTACGATCGTCATCCCATTCCGCCGGCTCGCGGTAGGCGGTCGGGGGGCCGCGCCAATATAAATCCAATTGTGCTAACGCCGCCGGCGTTACGCCACGAGACGCGCAATCCGCGGGATTCTCGGCCGACACAATGTGTTGCCAGGGACAATGAGGCAATAATACCTGAATTTGATGTATCCGATTTGATACGTATATTTTAAATGACTCGTGCGGGACTGTTAACCACGACAGCACGATGGTCGAATCAGTCCAGGCCCGTAAACCGACGATGTCGAGTTGTGGTGATAATATATTTTTAATGCGGTTTAACCAACGGGCTAATAATAACGCGGCGGCCAGCTCAAGACGTGGGACGGTCAATGATTTCGTCGGAGCTAATTTGGTCTTAGTACCAAGTAGGAACACGGACTGATCGATCTCAACGTTTAACATGCGTATATATATAACGGCCGCATAACCGGTTTGCGACGCGTCGCAAAATCCTAATAAGTAGCACGGCGCGCCTTGGTGTGCGTTGATATGTCGCGGTACACGGATATTCAATAGGGACGGTAACTCCAAAACAAACGCAGTCCAATCTGCATGAATATCGGCCGGGAGCGGATCGTCCCACGCGATGTTATGTCGCCACGTCTGCTGCATTATGGATTTTGCCATAAACACAACGGGACCAAAAACACCTAACGGGTCGAAAATACGTGCGACAAGAGACAAGATTCCGCGTTTCGTAAAGACGGGTGACGGTTCTAGACTTAGGGCACAACAGAAATAATCTCTATCAGGATGCCAAGCTAGGCCTAAAACCTTAGTGCCGTAACCGTCGTCATCCCCGAACGTCATAGGTGCGCCCACGCAATCGGCGGCTGGTACCGCTTGCAACACAGCCGGCGTGTTTGATGCCCACTTTTTAAGTTCTAGCCCCGACCTACCCAAAACTGAAATTAAGTCCGACTGAAGTTTCAGTACGTCGGCTATCGTATCGGCCCCGACTCAAATATCGTCGACGTAAGTTTGATAATTGAGCGCGTTACGTACCCGGTCAAAACCGTCGCAGTCGGTGGACGCAATTACTTTAAGAACGCGAAGGGCGAGATACGGGGCACAGTTAACGCCGTACGTGACGGTATTAAGCTCATATTCACGCAATTCATCGTGAGGCGAGGCGCGCCACAACACATGTTGAAACTCTCTATACTTGGGTAGAATCAGAATTTGTCGGTACATCTTACAGATGTCAGTGGTAAATGTGTATTTATGTACACGGAAACGTGTCAAGACGTCCACAATGTCCTGCTGTAGTTTCGGACCAGACCACAAACATTCATTAAGCGACGGTCCGCGGAAGCCCCTGGCAGACGCATCAAACACAACCCGAATCTTATTAGGATCAATCTCCGGGTGATAGACAGCATGATGAGGGATTATATATCGCCCCGGAGACGTTGCCACCGACATATGTCCTAACGCGATATACTCAGACATAAACTTTACATACAATGATTTTAACACTGAATTCGCGCACAATTTGCGTTCGAGCGCTTCGAACCGCCTCACGGCTACCTCGCGAGACCCCACGTAAGTTTCTACCGGCCCGCGAAATGGTAACGGTACCGCAAAGCGACCAGACGGTAGGCGCGTCATTTCATCGCGAAATATTTGTTCACAACACCCTTCACTTGTGAACGTGACAGGCGCTATTTCGGGTTCTTCAATGTGCCAAAAGCGCTCCATTATCCCCTCAATAGACGCGTTCATACAAATAGGTAACGACTGATGAGAATACCCGACCGGGTCAACGACCGGACCGATAAGTATCCAGCCGAACACTGAACTAAAAGCTGTCGGTAATGATTCGTCGATCGACACTTTCCGCCCGTCCATTATAGACCCGTATACGTCCCCTCCTAATAACAAGTCGATTGGCGAAGTTAAATATAATGATGGATCTGCGAGTTCCAGATTAGAAAAACGGTCTTTTACACACGCGGCTAACGATTTCTGCGGTAAGTCGCTTGTTATGGTAGGCAACACCAACGCCTGAACAGGCAGCACCGGATCTGGCGCGAACCGAGGTTGCACTATACAGTCTACGCGCCCTTGAACGGCGGCAACAGTTGTCCCAGCCAACCCGCTTATCGGTGCAGTCCAACGTGACGGTATCAATCCTAATCGCTTAACGCACGCGGTAGTGATTACGCTAACTTGCGACGCGCTATCAACCAGCGCCCGTATTGTATGCACCGCGCCAGACCTATCCCGCATATGTACGAGTGCGGTACCTAATACAATGGCCATAGATGGATGGGGGGACGGGGGCCTCACTACAGACGCACACACAGATGAATCGACCTGCACCGGCGATTCCTCCCCGCCCTCTCGCTCGTCCGACGACAAATGTAGAAGTGTGTGATGTTTACGCGAACAATCTTTGCAATTAGGCTTCACCTTACATTTCGGAACCCAGTGCCCAACGCTCAAACAATTAAAACAAACGCGATTTTCTCGCGCCCACCGCGTTCGGCTTCCGGCTGCCCATGACTTAAATTTCATACATGCGACTAACGAATGTGCACCGGCACAACATGGACAATTTCCGTCTTCTTTCGCCGTCACAAATGACACTGGACGGAACCCTTTTGATTTCCCGTACTGATCCCCATTCTTACGGAACGTATTTTGCGGCTTTCCCGACTTAACTTGCGCGGTAACATTACCGACCTTTCCCGCATCAGCGACGTTCTCCAATATAGACACGCGCGAGCGAACAAACTTGAGCAAACCGGTTATAGACGGATAATCAGCCGAACTACCTGACTCGAATAATTTGCGCGTGGCGACCGGCAGACACCTAAATGCAATGGTAAATAATATGAAAGACCCCAAGTTTGGTATTTTTAGTGCTTCCAATAGCGAAATACTCTCGCTCACTGTCCCTACAAAATTATTAAGGTCATGTAACGATTCCTGTGACATTGTCGGCGCGCTTAATAATCGATCAAGTAACGAAGTGGCGACTAATCGCGGTCGATAAAATCGCTCTGACAGGAGGGACCACGCGAGACCATAATTTTCACCGGACACCGGAACACCGCGTATCGCGTCGGCCGCTTCGCCAGTAAGACACCCGATTAAATAATACATCTTATCGATGTTGGACAGCTGGAGTCGCGCGTCTACTTGTTCCTTAAACCTATCACGGAACGTAGGCCATAAACGGAAATCTCCGTCGAACTTGGGGAGTGGAATTTCTGGTAGACGCGACAACGGATTTTGGCAAACTTCCTGAGGGGGTTCAGTCGATCCTAACCTAGCCTGGAGGTATGACATGTCGATTGCCTCAGCGCCCTTAGGCAATAACTTTGCCACCGCGACCTTACATTCACTAATACATTTACGTATTTCAGCTGATAAACCGACATCATACTCGGAAAGTCTATCTAATTCGGTTAAGCCGTCTAACACCTCGTCGTCTTCAAACCTAAACTGTGTCCACATAGAATCTAAATCGGCAGTTAAATGTGTAACGGTTGGACCTAGGTCGGGTTGCTCTTCAATCTGTAATGCTAACTCATGCACGGCTTTAATCTGTGATATTATATTCGAACGCCTGATTTTAACTCGCTCTAAACGCCTAGCGCCACGCACGCTGTCAGCCTCAGCCCCGCTAGCCATGATAAAAGTAAAGTGCTATAACCACACAATTTACGCTTAGGACAATAAATATATAATAACTGGCCTTTAACCAAGCACTGTGCGCCCACGTGAGCCACGCCAACAGCCACGGCGACCAACACCACCGTCTCAACACAAAACGCTGCTGAACCTCCCTATAAGGTCAGAACCACGCTCTGCTACCAAATTTTTTCGCCGATGCCGATCCTACGATTACAGCGGTTATCGGCAACGACTCGCGTTTTTTTTGGTTGAGAACAGGAGCGGGAGAGGTTACTCACACAAATTATAAAACCATTACTATTTTAAAATACAACAATACTACCGCCGCTGACCGTACGGTATATATATTATACAACAATATTATAAAGGTAATTAATAAAATATGCGGGCGCCCAGAACAATGAATACGAAAATATAATATAATATTGAGTACAACGACCTCAACCGCCGTATTGTATAAAAAATAAATAATAACAAAGTAAATATTCTAACGCTAAGGTCGCAAAATACAAATAATGGTATAGATGATTGGCCACTGATCACAAATGTGTAAGATGATAAGTATGTCTGATATTATATAACCTGACAGCGACAGCACTTGAATGATCCCACGATGCGAAACCACAACCGTGGATGATGCAGAATCTCTTCGTCGATGAGTTCAAAAGAGAACTCAACTTGACACAACCCGATCACAGGTGGACAAGAAATCACAACTCGTGTTCACACGAGGTTTTTGCGACACGCAAGACGGTGAACGAGCACGACGTTGTGCGTAGTTCGACCGTTGGAAAAAGACAAGA